TATTTGCTGGATAAAGCTCTTCCCAGTGCCCCTCCTTCCCCTCCCAGGTGCCACATTTACCTTTTGTTTGGCTTCAAGAATCCTTCTTTCAAGATCAGATGGAATCATTTTCCCTCTAAAAGGAAAAATAAATAAAGCTTTGCTTCGAATCATTGACTATATTGCCTTTACAACACAAGCAACAACATGAAAGTAAAAGTCCAACCCTAAACAGTGGGCAGCAATGATTAGGTAAAGTAATTTCTTGGCTATTTCTAGTAATACACATTCTTACCTCCCTGACTGATGCGAGGCTATAAAGCATGTATGTGTGGCATGTTTATGAGACTCCAAAGCACACTGTGTTGTTACCTTGTCAAGCAGTCACAGTGTTACTCAACGTAGCTCAGAACTTATTTTTAAAGTTAATTCCACTAAAACATGCCTGATATGGAGCAAGGCATTTGGCATTGAAACAAATAGTATTCCAGATCTTCTATTGAATGGAATTATAATTCCACATATAGATAAAAAATTAAGAGAATCGTCCATTCTATTATATTGATCTTGAAATATTTGAGTGAAAATAAAAAAGGCACATAGGGGTGGAATTAAATGATGACCTAGTTAGACATTCCACACAATCCCTCTCAATAAAAACCCTAGAAACCAAATGAAAGCATCTTGAATATCAAACAAACCTTGAACATCAAATGAACAGATAAGAAATTAGATCAAGCACTGATTGAAGAAACTGAATAAAGGCAGGAAATGAGGAGAAATAGGGAGTAAAGTTGCTTAACAGAGAACGCAGGCACAGTGTGATCATTAGGAGACACTGCAAGTAGCTTTCCTGGGTGAGGAGCACAAAATCCCCACTAGGACAGTCACAATGTAGACAAATAAAGGGAAGCCGGGTGAGCAGAATACAAGCTATAGCTAAGGAATCACAGTGCCAGAATGTGACCAAGAACTCCAGAAGCTCAAATAACCTCAAAGCATGGGGAAGCCAGTAAATAGGGAAACACCCTGATCATTAGGGTTAGAGACCTTTGTGGAGAGAAAGACGTGTGGCGTGATAGCTGAAAATGCTGGACTCCAGGTGATACCCCACCTTGATATTGAGTCAGGGCAGGAAAAACACCTGCACTGACCCAAGAGTGTACCAGTGTCTTGTGATTGGAGAAGTGCTCTTCCAGTGACTAGAGGTGTGGCCACCTGACCCTCTACTAGCCACATGGTAAGTAAGACAGGACACTCCTCCCTATGGCCTCTCCTGTCTGGCAGCTGCTTGGCTTATGGTCTGCCCAGCCAGCTTCCACTCCCGCGTGACCCTCTGCTGCTCAGCTTCTGGGAAGCCTATGGTGAACTCTGGCAGATCAGACATGCCACATCTGCTCCCTCAGGGGTTGATGATGCCCCTTTTTGTAGATCACCCTCCCACTAACTCTGTGATTTGGTGGTAGTGCCTATTTGCAACCACCACTGTGCCACTTTCTCTCTTTTCCCCCTCTTGTGTTCTTGTTTTTTTTTAACCCTCCAACCCCATCTGGTGGGAGATGGCAGCCACATACCCACTAATCACCTAATCACCCACACTTACCACACTTGCCACCCCCATACAATCCTACACTGGAAAAGCACCCCCATACAATCCTACAACACCGGATCTCTGATAGACAGTGACCAACACTCCATCAGCCCACCCTCAGCTAGTCTACACAACCAGCAAAGAGAGACCCGAGCTCCACTCCTACCCCTGTCAACCCACTGGGCGACAGATGGTGAGTGCCACAGCGCTGTCACAGGAGTCACCCAAGAGGCACACGAACCACACTGTCCTGCATATAGCAAAGCAAAACAAAAATATCCAAAAAACATTGGGGTGAAACCAGCCAACATGCAATTATTCCAACACACACCACAATATCGAAGACACAACAAATAAGCTAAAATCACACAAAGAAATATAAGATGGCCCAAACAAGTGACCAAAATAAAGGGAGAGAAAGGCTTCTTGAGTAAGAAATTATAATAGAACTACTGGATAAGAGATTCAAAAGATTTACATGTAGGCTCATCAACAGAATAAGAAAGAGATGAAGGAAAACACAAGCAAAAGCAGGAAAAATACAGGCAAAACGCTGGAAGTATTCAGGAAATCAATAAAAGAACAAATTTACAAAACAATTAGATGTTATATAAAAGTAGCAAATAGAAATACAGAAGATGAACCCTAAATACCCATCAATAGATAATGCTTTGTGAGGACAAAGAATTAGAATGAAATCAATGGAAGACAAAGTTAGCAAAATAGATGAATCCCTTGAGACCAATCTGCTAGAGGAATTATCAGGAAAAAAAGAATTTAAAGACTCTGGGATTTATGTGGGACACCATGAAGAGGAATAAATTACACATGATCAGCATTTGAGAACAGAGGAGATAAAAAAACCAAAAAATCCACAGAAAATGTTTGCAATGATTTGTTGGCAGAGCTTCCCTGTTATCTTGAAAGATAAAAGTATGCCCATTCAAGAAGCTCAGTGAACCTCAAATAGGATAAATTACTCCCAGATCATCAAAACGCATCATAATCAAAATTTCTAAAACCAAAGACCAAGAATGAACCCTAAGAGCAGCTCAGAATAAGCAAAGGTTACTTACAAAGGGGAAGCCATAAAACTAAGCTCCTATTTTTCAGCAGAAATCATGCAGGCTAGATGGCAAGAGATGACATATATAAAACATTGAAAGCAAAAAAATACAAAAACAAAAAACGAACCCAGACATACATGCCCATCAAAATTATTGCTACAATATGATGGCAAAATTAGGATATTTCCAGATAAGCATAAATTAAGGAAATTTGTATAAAGCAGACCAGCCTGACAAAAATGATAAAAGGATTTGTTTTGGTCAGAGACGCAACATTAGAGAACAACCTGAGATTAAGACACATGAACACATCATCCAGAATCCAACCAGATAGGAATTTTAAAAAGATAAAAGAGGGGAAAGGCTACTGTATACAAACATTCTTGGGGTGAGGACTGGGTACTATGGCAGGGACCAGATCAAATGCAGGGATGCACGTGGTAGACAACTGGGGAGGAGGTGGGGAAAGGGGGAAAAAATGATGAAAATAAGGAGGAAATGGGTCGCGGGGGCACTGGGCACTAACCCACCCAAGGGGAGGGTATTGTTTGTATCTCCACAGGAAAAGAGGGACCAGACTTCAACCCAGTGCTCCAAGGTGTGAATGCAACATGCCAGCACAGAGTAGGGAACCAGTGGAGAGGTCTAGGGGGCTGGCCTCAGTCCCAAATACTAAGTGGATGCCTGCCCCTCCTCCCAGAAGAATTTATTTCAAAGGACGGCACTGAATCCACAGCTCCGGGAGGAGGATGTATGTGATCAGAGCACACAGGGGCAGATGACTGGGGAGGAGTTGAGACTGGAGCACATCCTGGCCCACCAGGCCTTGAGGACGATGACCCCAATTAGAGCAGCCAGTCCACAGAGAGGACCACATGGCCAGCCCCACTA